TGAGCTTACAGTGTACGTGGGATATTGCAGCTGGGATGTTCTCTACCCTCTCCATCCATCCATCCATCTCTCTACCATCTCCATCTCGGGCACCAGCTGTTCACAACTTGCTCTTGGCATTTCCTCCCTCGAGTTATGGGCTGGAATTTCTGCAGACGTAGCTCTGCTCTTCTGCAGTTTTTGCCTTGTCTTTCCAGGGGGAAGGGGTTGGGATTCAGGCCTGTGCATCAAGCTGGGGAGCGATGAAAAAGTGGAGAATTAAACCGGTTACCCTGTAAGAACAACCCCCGTTTTGTAAGGTAAATGCTGTCAGCTTTTAACGTGAGAGTTATAATTGGCTGTTGCTTATTGTCTCCCTGTGGAAGAGGCAGAGAAAACACCCATGGCTGAGGCAGCCCGGGGTTGCATAGCAACAGTGAGGATGTAGTGGCTGAGATCATTTATGAGAATGTTTTATACCGCGGGACTTGGTAGGTATTCCACTGCACAGGGAACAATTAAACATTTATAACTTAAAATGGGGTTTGTTTGTTTATTTATTTATTTATTTAGTAGAACAGTGTAGATCCTTAGGCTGTAACAGTGCTGAATGTGGTGTGAGTGCTTTCGGGGACAGGCTGGGGCAGTTGGGGCACACTTGTGTCTCCCCCGTGTGTGGCAGCGGCTGTAGTTTGTCACGTTCAACCAGCTTGTCCCCTGCAGCCCAGGAGGACAGCAGGGCCAGCGAGATGTTCCTCTGGAGCAGACACCAAGGCTCCTCCTCACCCGCTGGCAGCAGTGGAGGTGGCCTACATAATAATGTAAAGACCTTGAGGTCATGAGAGTGATTAATTCAATTACTTCTGTCGCTGCTCTTCGCCTTGGTCTCCGGTGTTTGTAAAGTGCTTCTGTGGTTTGAAGATCCTGCGGTGAACAGGGTATTGGAGAGGGCTGGGGACATCTCCTCGCGTGTCAGTGCCCGTGGGTGGAGCCTGCGCTGGAGGTCTCTTAACTTTCCTCATCAGTGAGATCAGAAAGAAAATGCACAATTCCTGGAACTGCTTATCAGTCACTGCAGTGTGGAGGGTGGGGTGGGAGGCAGAAGGTGCTGCCTTCTGCCTGGGACATTAAGGCTGTTGCTCCTTTCAACAGTTTAGTTGAACAGTGAGTTGGTCAATCCTCTTGCCTGGTTGCTGGGAGCTCACTGGAGCCTTGGTCTTCAGCCATGACTTACTCCTTATGGGCAGCACTAATTCGCAGGATAGTAAGTATATATGGCAATCCTGGGGTGTTCATTCCACAAAGTTGGACTTTCCACTTGCTGGATTGGTATTTAGACACTTACAAATCCAAAACATATGGGTTGTGAAATGTTGTATAGTTTCTAAGGCCCTTTTTTTATGGTGGTTTTTGTTGGTTGATTGGTTTTGGTACAGTCTCTGTTCTTTATAATTCTCATAGTGGACCAAAATATGTAGTTCACCTTTTAGTAATAATCCTTAGAATCATTAGAGTAATTGTAGAGTAATTCAGGTTAGAAAGGACCCATCTAGCTCAGCATCCTGTTCATAGCAGAGTCAGCTATGAAATAATAGAATAAAATGTTAATAGAAGAAGGTGTATTGCCATCTTCCTGGCATATTGCAGGGGAGTAATTGGGACAGTTTTCTGGATTTATAAGGACTTGTAAACTCTCCTTAAGTGCAGTGTCCCACTTAAGGGACAGGGGAGTTCTGAATACAGGCAATTTGGCCAAACTTCTGACTACTTTTAATTAAGAAAAAAAAAGGGCAGGGGGGGAGAGGCGGGAAGCTTTTCAAGAAATGAGCAAAATTTTTTCTCTTTGAGTTTTGTATTAAACAAGGCAGATGGTCAAAACTTCATTCCACTGTGCAATTACCTGTTCAATTTATGCCAATGTATTTTAAGTGCTGATTTTTGCCTTTCAAGCTGGGGGTGTCATTGTGACTGTCTGATGTCTCAGTCTTCTTTGCAAACAAGGATATTTTTGAAATTGTCTGTGCAGATTCTGACTCATGAGATTTCTTTCAACTGGTACTCCTCATACGCCAAGTCTTTGTTTCACATCAGTGCAGAAGAGTTTTTCACATAAATGTGTGCATTCATTCTTAGTTACGGGTAATTTTTGCGCTGGTAGGACCAATATTGTGTGTGCATCATTTTCAGGAACTGGAAATTGCAGGAGTAATCAGCCCTGGAGTATTGCCAGACCCAGCTTAGTTCCAAGGGAGTACTGAAAGAGCCATAATCATAATGTCTCATTTTAGAAGAAGAACTAGAGGCAAATCAGTATACAATTCGTCTGTTTGATTTCATATCAAAATTAAGTTGATTTTTTTTCCTGGCTACTCTTGTAAGAATTATGAAGTTAAAGATCAAAGCGTGGAGAATTACAGCATTTGAATACTGGATCAAGAGTAGTATTTATTTGATTGGCAAAATTTTTCAGTGATTATAAATAAGAAAATTCCTACTTTGGGTTTATCTTTTGCGCCGAGAAGAGAGCAGACTCCTCATTTTGTTGCCTTTTCCTTTGAAATGTCTGGTTTTACTCTATCGTGAATATTCTATTTATAGAGGAAATGGCTGTATCTACCATAGCTCCACAAGTTGCACAACTCTGCTTTCAACTTTGGTTTCTTCTTCCAAGTGGTGGATAAAGAAAGAGAATGGATCACAGATATTAGCACAAGTTTGTTGAGTTAATAGTGGGTTGTCTCTCAGAGAAAAAAGGTTTCTGTTCAGATCAGATCTTTTCTTGAGAGCAACAAAAGTCAGAGTCAGATGTGTCAGTTCTTTATCTTGCAGGATCTCTTGTTCTGTGGAGCTTATGTAGTTAAAAAAAGAACAAAAAGAAAATACTTTCATCCATCTGAAGAGGTGAGGATTGAATCTAGGGAACAAAGCATGAAGCAGAAATTGGTTGTGTTTGGGAGCACTACATGTCAGAAAGTATTTCCTCCTTTCTCCACCGAAAACTTGGGTGCAAAGTGTCCGTGGTGCAGCTCAGCGTGCCGCGGGATAGGCAGGGTGCTTCCCTCTGTCCTCTGTGTCTTAATGTAAATTAATGTGATATAGGACACTGTGGGATGTGTGATATAAGAGGCTTGTGACGGGCCTGATGTCACTCCAGTACAGTCAGTCAGTCTGACATTAATTTCCCAGTCTGTCCCATGTTTGAAAGCTTTGGATTTGTACTCCCAGTTTGTTCTCCATTCACACTCTTTGTCTGTAGCACCAGGTTGTTCCAAGGAAAATGTTAATGCCAGAAAATGCAAATGTGTCTGTATGATCTAATTTGAGTTGCTTGTGTCTAAAAGTGTCTCAGCCATAAAACACAAGGGTACATATGTATAGTTCTCAGAAAGCTTATGTAATTTTGACTGGTATTTAAAAAGAAAGAAAAAAGTTTAATAGCAACTACTAAGTGCTCTCCAGAGAAGGATGGGAATAGAGAAAATGATCCTTTTTTAAATCTATCCTCTGCTTTTTTTTTTTAAATAAGCTTATTGTTACCAAGAGTAAACATTTTGATAACAAAGGGAATGGATTTTTCCCAGGCACCTCCACGGTCCTGGTGCCCAGTGCTTCTCTATTACCAGATTGCCTTGAGTCTTTCTAGAGTGTGGTGAAGATGATAGAAAAGAGATCTTCAAAAGAAAAGCTAAAACTCATCATTCTTGTGCTTGCTACTAATCACCTACTGGAAAGAATAATCTGTATGGTTTGTTGTCACTTCCTTCTTCAACACAGGCAGTCTCCTCCAAGCTGCACGAGCTGTAAATGGCTTTTCTGCCTCCCCCTCGGTCCCCCCGGCTGCCGCCTCCTCCACACGCCGGGGAGAGGATTGGCTCCTCGCGCCTCTCCCCGCTTTATCTGCTGTTGGGACCTTTTTTTCCTCTCAGCCAGCTGACCAGGTTATCATACCTCATTAAATTCTCTATGGTTCTTTTCAGCTGGTAGAAACCAGAGTCTTTAAATAGTTTAGGCCTAAGGAGTGATTTGTAGACTTGAAAGAATGTTTATTTTTTCCAGCTAATCATTTGGCTCATTAAAAAGTGCAGCTTGAAAGGGAGCGCTGAAATAAGTAACTTCCTCCAGAAGGAAAATGCAACAAGGTTACTCCATATAACGAAGTAATCTCTTAAAATTTGGAGTGTCTTATTCCTTACATTTAGACTCTTCAGTTTGTTTTATTGAAGTTCACAATGTCTGCAGAAGTAGTAATGTTATTTCTTTTTCAGGGTTTTGTTTTTTGGTTTTAGCATAGAGAATCACAGAGTGTCAATTGTGTCATTTTGGTTATAAAACCACATCTCAAAGTTCAAACGTATGTACTGTCAAGTGAAACATTGTCTGAACTGAAGAATATGGGCTGATCAGTGTGTCTGCAATGTAAAATTTATTTTTTTTTACATTTATTTTACTGAGCCTTCAGATGAGCCATATATTTGCATCTCAATGTCTTTCCTGTTGCTGCTATAATGGTATTATCAGGGTTGTGCATGTTTTCTCCTTTCCATGATAACACAACGCTTTGTATAAACAATGTCTCCTAAATGCAATACACGAAGCTGCTTTTCTGCTGCTCCCATTCCTGTTTCTGAGCTTTTTAGACTAAATTGCCTAGTTAGAAACAATGTGAGTAACTGCAAGTGATGCAGTATGTACTGTGCATGGAACTAATGTGCTTTCGTGGTAGCTGGTGGAAAATACTGGCTTCCAGCAAAAAGGGTAACAGCCTGGTGTCTGTTGGGTCATCCTGCTAAAACCAGGGAGTCAGTTCTGGCCTCTAGAGCTGGTTATTTGCCCAGGAAAACAGTGCTCATTTTACAGAGAAGTGTTGTTCTGAGTTCACAGCTGTTTCCATGTTTAAGTTTGTTCCCAGTTTTATGTTCAAGTTTAACTGTAGCTTCCAAACCACTATTGCAAATACAATCTGTTCCTCGTTTAGCCAGGGGCTGAGGGAATGATGAAATGTTGCGATTGTTCTGTTGCAGGATCAGCTGAAGAAATGCTTCTCCAGACAGACCCCAGAAGCGAAGGACACGGACACGCTGGTGCAGGAGCCCGACAGCCAGTACGGCACCTGGAACGAGCAGCGGCACAGCGGGGACAGGTGAGGGTGGGCAGGTCCCCTCTGCCCCGCGGGTGAGCTGCTCCTTGGCTGAGCAGTGACAGGAGCTGTTGCTTTGGGTGTCTGTGTGTGTACGTGGAGGGGTTTTTTAAAGCTGCACGCTCAGTTTCAGTGACTATAGGTGAAGAAATATTTCTTTAATTAATCTGTAAATTGCAATAAGGCTTGAAATTTAAACTCCATCCTCCAGTCAGAATGCAGTGTCACCACTTTTATAAGCAACGACAAAACCAGCTTGGGCTAGAATAGATTTAGCAAGTCTGCGAGTTAGATAGTATTTTTTGGTGCTAAAATGGTAGAAAAAAGATAAGGGGGTAAAAAGCTTTTCTCAATAAATACAACAAATGGCTTTGACTAGATGAAGGTAGGTAGTAAAGCTTTCTTTTGTGTTTTGTATTTGTGTTTGCAGTTATAGTTAGAAACGTACATTTTCACATTTAGAAAGTGGTGACCTTGTGTGCTGTGTGCCTCCGACAGGTAGAACCAGGGTTCTGGGAAGATTTTTCTAAAATTCCCTCTCTTCTTCCCTCTTAGGTAGATAAGGAGGTGTCTGACAGAGTCTGGTAACAGTTTTGAGGTTTGTTTTATTGTATTTTGTAAATGTGGTCTCTCCCATACCAATTAGCAGTGCCTTACGAGCTGTGCTCTTGGGTGGGCTGAGTGGCAAAATCCCTTTGAAGCTGGTACTTGGGATGCCAGGAATCTGCTCCCACAGCAAGAGGACGCGCGGTTGCACCTCTGAACGTGTCCCCTGGGCTGCTGTGTCCACATCTCACTAACTCTGAAGCATTTTAGTGTGGTGAAGTGGAGGATGAAATGGAATATCAGTTGAATGAAAGATAGTATTACTGGTGCTTTTCTGTTATTAAAACGATTTAATGGCATCAACCTAGAGCATTGAAGTGTGAGGCTTTTTGTAACTCACACCTGTTGTGTAAATTATAGCTTGATCTACACTTAGAGCCAATTTCTTACCTGCTCAATGTAGTGTGAAAATAGCATTTTATCTGGTGTGTGGTTTGTTTTTATTTTTTTTAATGCTGTACTTGTTGAGATCCTATAGCAGACATTGCTGTTGATGTTTGGTGTGTCCTACGCTCGAGAACTGAGCATTATAAATATTTTATTGTTTAGGAAATCAGGGTAGCTTTCAGCTTGAAGTTCAGTGAGCTAAGTGACATGCCAACAGTGACATCCAAGTCTTCTATAAAATCAACTTTGATTTCTGTATGTTCTAGACATTTTCTGGAATCAGTTTCTTAACAAAGGTGCTTGTCTCTGCTCCAGACAAGACAGCATTTGAATATTATTTCAGACCTGGAAGATTTTTCTTGATTAGAAGAGCTCCACCTGAAAGTTCTGGTTTATTGAAGTATTGAACTCAACCCCCATGTCCTGTAATTTTGTCTCCACTATGAGAAATGTTCAGTTTTTTCTCTTTTTACAGTGCAGTGATGGCAGTATAGTGACTTTTCAGTATTTTGTCACCCCCTAGCTCTACTTTAACTTGACTTATGGTTCATTGCAGGGGAATTACTGGTGTATTAATTCAAGCACTTGGAGAGGAATCAGAGTAACATACTTCTACATATTAAATTAATAATGGAAATCTTCCTGGAATATACTGAAGCTGCATTTTGTTTGCAGTTTATTTTTTATGAAGTAGAAGGCTTTCTGCCAGGACAAGTGCAGACATTCTCCTCTTGCCATGGGTGATTCAAGCCCGTCTCTGCGTTCGGCCGCTGCTGAGGCGGTCGTCTCCTCCTCTGCTCAGCCCAGAGGCAGGAACTTAGAGAAGACTTTGATAATTCAGCTTTCCTGTTTTGCCTGGCTCACTTCCCTTAAACTTTCTATCTTGCCAGCCGCACAGCCCGTGGTGTTGCATTCTTCACACACCCCGATACGCCCTCACAGCCGGCGTTTGGCCATAAGCTGAACCTACGGCTGAGAGAGCACCCAGGGAACAGTGTCCTGCATCTTGGGAGGGCACCTGGGGAACACCACGACAGTGGGGACAAAATGTCACCAGCCTGCTGCTGCTGCTTGGGAGGAACTCCCAATTTTTGGCATTTTCCAGGCTTTGAGTTGTGAAGCAATTATTTTAGCCCCTTTAGGACTGTTTCATTAATACACCTGTGAATTAACTCATTTTCTCTGAGAGAGGAAGAGAATTTTAAAACAAAAAGCCATGACTACATGGCAACAGGATAAACATGGTCCTTTTCCTACAAAAGCTTCAAGGAACTCATCTGTATTTCCATCATTTCTTACTCTCAAATATTTCAGTTTGAAACACTGCACTGAGCTGTATTAGCTGAAGCCCCAGGCTGTGGAAGGGAAGAGGCTTTCTGGAGGGAGGCACATCAGACAGGGTCCTTTTCATATGTATTTTAATTTCCATGGAAGGTGGCAAGTCTGCAGATTGTCTTTCCTCTCTACATTCTTCCATATTCTAGTGGATCTAAAGCCTAACACTGCAGATACCAAATATCATTCAAAGCGCAAATACTAGACAAAAACTTCCTCCTAGAGCTCATTAGTACCATTTCTTAATTATCCTGGGGCCCACTGCTGAAGAAGGGAAGAGGCATTCACTCTACTCGTGAGCTGGAAACCCTCTGTGCAGTGTTCGCTCTGCCAGACTGGAAATTATATCATGTACTGCTGCTGGATAGAAAGTTGTTATTCAACAGGAGTCTCCTGAGTGTTTTCTTCCCAAAATTGTTATCGCAGTGGACTGTACCAAATACTAAGGTCTATTGTCTAAAAAATATATTCATACATATATGTTCAGGGTTTTTGTTTTAGAACAGTTCTCCTAGGTATTTGCTCAAGAAAAGGTGCTTAGTAACAAGGCTCTTGTTAAGCAGAGAAAAAAAAAAATCTAAACTCCTTAAATACTTTAGATTTTGCTTTTTAAACTAAGAACCCCTAAAATTAGAAGCAAGACAGCCCTATTTTTACTGACAGTGGGGTCTTACTGTGTTTTCTTCAATCTCCTGCTGCTTAAAGGAATGCTCCAACCTACGTGACAAAGGGAGACATGTAACTACATACAGCTTTCAGTCCTGCTACAACTCACTTCTGTTAGTTTAGGCAAAGGGAAGATTTCTGGGAATGCACTGGGAGCATCACACCGCTGGGGTGCAGGTCCTGCTGCCCTTGGTGCTCCACCCTTGGCACCCCAAAAGCCTCTGCTCCTAGAACCTGGCCTTAGGGTGCCACCTGCTGCTCTCCTCTCCCTTCAGCTCCTTGAGAGAAAAAACCCTCTGTCTGGCACGATGGGCAGCTCTCTCCAAAATAGACCCCAAGATAAAAGAGAAGTTGTGTGGGCATCTCTCAGACTGGTTTCCATCCTATGAGTGAGCGTGGTGGGGGAGCACAGGGTGTTTGTCCCTGTCACCATCCCCAGACCAGAGGCACTGGCTCAGCCGCTCCCCAGCAGAGTTTTCTGTGCTGGTTTCCAGTCCTCTTGCCCCATTCCAGTCCCTTTCCCTGCCAGCTCACTCTTCATGCTTTAAAGTCACCCGCTCTGAAGGCAGCAGACCTGTCTGACCAGAGTGAATCGATGAGCCTGTCACACTTCTATGTGGTTGTGCTGTTGCTTAAAAACTGTGAAACTCCCCAATCTGATCCCCCTAAACAGCAACGTTCTCTCTTCTCTTTCACATCTTGGCAAGCGTGGTTCACGGGGTTGCTGTTGCTGGTGTTCCTTCCCTCTTACGGAACAAAACTAGAGGCAACAGGAGAACCAAAATCTAACACAGCTGCAGAGGAGGAGCTGCTGATCATGGGTCAGCACTGACAGACGCTTCTTTCTGTCAGGACACAAGGGATAGTTTTTTTTTTTAATCCAGTGTTTAAATCTGAAGATGCTTCAGAGTCCTTGGAGTCACGTGAAGTAAAAAGCAGTGATAATGAAAGTGATCCCCACCCTTGCTCTGGTACCTGCTGCCTCTGAAGATGCCTCTGTTACTTGTAGCCATGGTTTCAGTTCTACCTTTATCATCTGCTGAGTATGTGTGATCCAAACAAGACTTCCATGTATTTGTTTATCCTGAAGTCTCACAGATTCCACTTTCTGAATTTGCAGCTTTGTTCCCGAATCTCCTTTGTCAGAAAACGATGCCATTTCAACAAGAAAGCAACCTCCAAATAGCCACCCGTCTTCACTGTCCTCTCAAACGGAACCTGCCTCCCTGGTTGATCACCATGACTTCTCAAAAGACCAAAGGAGCACCAGTTTGGACCGTTCCAGCACTGACATGGACTCTACTGATGGGACTGATTTACCTCCTCCAGGAGACACCTACCCTGATGAAAAGACCACTGATTTCTCTTTCATTGATGTAAGTAACCATTATGGGAAACAGAAGCTCTCCTCCCATGTTAACTGTGTTGTTACCTGTGTTGATCACAGCAAAGCAATATCTTCTGGAAACTTTGCACTTAATCCTCTTCTGCCTTTTCTTTATCACATTGAATTTTTCCAGCTGACTTCCTCCCTGAAAAGTTTAAGATCAAAGCTACAAAGTTCTTCTTGTTCCTGTAATGCTTAGGTTCTGAGAGATTCCAAAAAGCTATTGGCCTCAGATAATGTCCACCAGTGGTTTAATAAAGTTGCTGTTTCCCTTTCTGCTCCCCAGTAAGTGTCCAACCCAAACCATTTTATGATTCTATGGTGCTGTTTCCCTTTCTGCTCCCCAGTAAGCTGTAACAGAAGAGTTAAATGGTTCTATGAATATTGGAAACATAATTAAATAACACAAATAGCTAGTGACTGCTGTGATATGAGCCATGCAGATTTAAGGCTATAAAGACATTTGCTAATATTTTTCTTGTTCACAATTGATCTCCTTCTGTAGTAGCTTACAATTGCATTTTAAAGGATTTTTTTTTTCATACTTTAGAATCTTGCAGCCAGTATAAGTAATTTCTGGCTGTACACAGTTAGATGAGGTTTAGCTTTCTTTGAAAGCACTAAGACAACTGTAGTTTTTCAGTGTGACATCTAGGAAGTACTGCTTTTTTCTTTAGTAAGGGTTGATGCAGGGTTTTTTTTTTTTAATAGTATAATATCTAGTGGCAGATATACTGGTGAGTCCAAGATTCCCAATGTAAATGGATCATGCAGCTGCCAGGAAGGTCTCAGATACACTGCCTTGCCTGCCAAAGTGCCATAATACCTTCCAGATTGATGAGAAGACTGCTCAGTAAAATGTATGAAGGACACAAGCAGGTTTGTGCTGGAGGCAGTTTGGTCTGATGCAGCAGAACTAAAAACTGAGTGTTGAAATCGCAGCTGCTCCCTGCGTAGGCTGCTGGGAAGGGCCTGCAGCCAGCTCTGTTCTCCACTGGTGTTGCCATCGATGGGGAACTGCAGAAACCTGTGTTTTGCCAAAGCAGATGCTGCTCTCATCTTCCAGCTCACTCCAGCTCTGATACAGAGGCCACGTTTTGTGGTCTGTTGCTTTGAGATCCCTAACTGCATGTGCCTTGGCCATGGTACTGGTTAATAAGCCTTTGGCAGGGCATCCCAAGTGCACTTTTTGCTCTCTAAAGGGAGTGTTTGTAGCCCAGAACGGCATGAAAGGTGTTTTCTCTCTGTCTGCCAGTGGTTCTGCAGGTAGTGGAGGTGGTCAGGTATCGTGCTGTTCCCCGGGCAGATAAAGGCATCTTTTTAAAACATCAGTAGCTTCAAGTACAGCTGGCAATATCCTGTTTTACTGAGTAGTTTATTCCTGACCTGAAATCTCTTGAAAAGAAATAAAAACATATCTTCCAAAGAAGAGGAGGAGGCCCAGTGATGTTTGCTGATTTCAGGCAAGTCTCTAACAACAAATTACTTTAAATAAATAAATTACAGCTCCTTCTTTTGCTCTGTAAATGTTATCCTCTTACCATCGTGCACAGGGATGGATGTGTTTGAAATGACTGATCACAGAAATTTTCTGAATGCCCTGAGTCCTTGTTGCTGGTGAGCAGCTTGAGATTTCTGCGGATGGCAGCCCATCAGAGCAGTGAAATTACAGCACTCTGCTACGAGAGGATTTTGTGTAGTTGCTCTTTTTAGATCCCAATCCTTATTGGCCTTCAGCTGTTACCACCTGGCCAGGCCTGTATTCTTCAAACATTCAAGGAACCAAAATCTTATTTATTGTAGTTATTTTTTTAAATTAATTTGGTGAAAATAATTCATGCAGATCAGACATCCACAGCCAAGAGAGATCAAAGAACCAGCGTTGCACCCACTTAACCATAATGCAACATGTCCTTATCATAAATTCTCTTTAATACAGTTTTAAGTAACTACAACAGTAATAATCAAGCATATATATATATGTATATATATGTGTGTGTGTGTATATATATATGTGTGTGTGTGTATATATATATGTGTGTGTATATGTGTGTGTGTGTGTATATATATATGTGTATATGTGTGTGTGTGTGTGTATATATATATACACACATATATAGTTTAATTAAACTGAATGGGTTAATGTGTTAAAGTAGGTTGGGAAATCATTATGGAGGAGATAACTTATTTTCAGGCTGGTTTAAAGCAAAGACCTTGTTTCTTTTTGTAGCAAACGACTGTTCTGGACTCCAGCGCGCTGAAAACTCGTGTACAGCTCAGCAAAAAGAGACGCCGTCGAGCTCCTATTTCCCACTCCCTTCGGAGAAGCAGAGGGCTGGAGTTTGAAAACAGGTTTTCTTTGACGGAAGAACCAGATAGTACCTGGATGTTTAAAGATTCCACAGGTATCCCTCAGCTTTCTGAAATAATAAACCATGACCAACTTGGTTGTAAGGGCGGGAATTTCTGAATGGTGTCACATACCTGAAGCTGCATCAAGGTTTAACAGCAGCTTCCTTCACCCACCTCTGGGTCATCCTCTAAATCAAGTCTTCCTCTCCATTCCTTGGGGCCTTTGGAGTGAGGGAAGCTGCAGTAGCCAGACCTAGAGAAGAGCAGGGCGAAGGAGAGCTTTGGTGCCATTTCCTTTAGCTGCTGGCTGCTGCCTTCTGAGAATTGTGTTCGCTGATAAAATACTGAGTTTAGAAACTGCTACAGTTGGAGACGTTCTCTGGCACGTTCTTTATATCTAAGCCTGTGTGTTATTGATAAGAGCAACTGTAATTCTTCAGGGTCTATAGGTGCTCATAAATATTCTTTCTTTCTAGCATCTGTAAGTAGTCCAGGACTAAAGAGGCCCTGTTAAGGATAGATCAACTCCTTCAAATCCATTCTATTAAAAATGTCCCCTTGCTGGCCTGTCCTGTTCCTTGGGATGGAGTAAGGAAATGCATCAGGCATTGGCAGTCCTTGCTCATGGAAGTCAGTGAATGGCTTGATGCACACTCCTTATAGATCCATGATGTAGTTAGTACCTGTAGCACTCTGGTGCTGTGGTGATCTATGCTGCAGACAACCTTTTGATATTCCCCGAGTGGAGGAATTACTGGTGTTGCAGCTGGTTCTTTAGAGAGGCTGGTGATGTTTTTGTAACTGAGGGCAACTATTAAAAGAAAAGTCAGTTTTGTGTCCTGCCATTTCTGCTTTCCCTTAAAGCCTGTGAATATAGGGAAGAATGTGACTAAACTGATTTCTTTCATAGCCTCCTCATAAATGAAAAGGCTATTACATGTGTGGCAGTTGCTTTGCTGCAGATCTAACAGATATAAAATGTTTTAAGACTAACCTTGATAAGAAGAGCTGTACTGGAAGCTGGAGTGTAATGATCAGCTCAGGACTCTGCATGTAAAGGCAGCCACACCATGGCATCGTTCACTGAGACTTCTGTTACGTGGTCTCCTTGTATCAAAGCCCTGCTTTGAGACCAGGGTGGACCAGATAACTTTGAGATGTCTCTCCCAATCGAAATTAATCTCACGTTCTGTGACCAACTGGGATGTTTAGAAGCAGCAACATGCATTAAATTGGGAGTACCTTCTGCTCCCTCGTCCATCAGCAAGAAATCTTTCTGTTGCTGAGTACTTAGTACGTTTGTTTGCTTTGATCTCTAGTGAAGCATTGAACTCGGTCCTGTGATGTGTTAATGTTACTCTCAATACATTTTTGAATGGAAGGAGACATCTAGAACAAGGTATAGATGAAAAGCCTGCTGACTAATGACTTTTTTCGTTTGTTTGTTTTTTTCCCCACCCTTCTGCTTATTTTTTAAAACAATTAGAAGAGAAGAAAGCTATGCAACAGGAAGATTCCGATGAGGAGGAAAAGGTACAGCATAGTGTGAGATCGAGCGCTGGACAAGCTCAGAGACTTCCTGTGTTTCCAGGAATGGACCACTCTGTTCTCAAGGTGAACACAGGCAGAACACATCAGATGAGAGTTACACCAGTTCAGCAGCTGCAGATGCTCTTTAGGAATAGACAGGGAATTTTGCTGAAGATGGCAGTGTTGTTTGTGGGTGTGATGTGGAGAATAACCTTGCAGTTAGCTTGCTCGCTTTTAATTGTTGTCTGGAAATATTAAGCCATTTGGGAACAAATTAGCTTTGCAATAGCAAACATGCTTTCAAAACTACCTGGGTTTATAAGGAATCTCTTCACTGATTTCAGGCATGGATTTTTTGTTTGTTTGTTTTTTATAAATCTGAGTGATTTGTTTTGCATTCCAGAAAAAGTCTGAAGGCTGCCTTAAAAAAATGAACTCTTTATTTTTATTTTTTTAGGCCCAACTGCGGAAAAGACAAGAGTCTGAGAGTCCTGGTGAAGTAGGTTCTGCTCAGCTGTTCAAATCCCCTAAACCACAACTGCAGCTTGGAACTCCTGGTAGCAGACTGCTGCCCTCCAGTGTAGAGAAGGAGGACAGGTGAGAGACTTCTCCGGCGTCAGAAAGATGCTAATACTTGTTTTGGTGGGGAAAAAAAAAATAACACAAGTAGGCTTCCCAGGGCTGTGGGGAAATTGTTTCTTTTTTTTTGTTTCTGCAATGAGTTTTCATAATTAAAGAATAAAGAGCTTTTTTTTTATATATATCTTAGGTCAGAAGAAAAGTCTCCTCAGTGGCTGAAGGAGCTGAAATCAAAGAAGAGACAGAGCCATTATGAGAATCAGGTTTGAAAAGGTACCTTCTGCCAGAAAGAGAGCCTTTGCTAAGTGGAAGTGTGCAGTGATAAAAACACACGTGGAAAACACTTCCATGGTGTCAGGATAACGACTCTGTCAGCACAAACATGACAACAGAGTCACTGGGATGTGTGCACCCAGGAGTGTAAAGTAATTCTGTCTGGAGGCAGAGCAGTCTGGGAAAGTGAAGTGTTCATTTGCAGGTGATAGTTTCACTGATTCTCTGCAGGTAACTTTGTTTTAACAACACTCACTCTGTTTGTGCTGTGATTTCAGAGCAAGAACATTGAGTAACAGCCTTACACACACTTTGTAAACATTGGGATATGTTGGTTTAGCAGTTTTCTGGGTAGCTCTTGAGCATTCAGCTCGTTAAATAGGACGAGACCAAGATGACACTACAAAGTAATCTGTGTTTGTGGGGGCTTTCCTGTTACTGAGAGGGGTCTGACTCTTGTGTGACCGTGTCATACTATTACTTCAGTTGCTTCTGCTTTTAATTTTCAGATAGTGGTTCTAACCAGAGGAAGATAAAGAAGTTTAACAGAAGCCTTAACTCATCTGAACCTAAAATTCACATGTCATGTTGCTGCTGTTCGCTTCCTGCCTCAACTGCTATGTGCATGGTGCCTTCCTGTTTTGTGGAGAAAGCTGCTTAATATTCATAGTCAAATACAAAGCTGCATCTTTTCAGCGATGGGAGGACAGTCACTTCAGACCTGCCTGGAAGAAGATCCGGGGGTTCATAGTTAGCACTGCGGAGAGTCGTGAGAGATTGTGACACCTGAGGGAGGAGCGCTGCGTGCCGCGGCGTCCCCTCGCTGTTCAACAAAGAAGATGTTTCTCCATTAGGTGTCCAGCAACTCAGAAGTAAGACTTTTGGTTGACACGTCAGGTGTAAGGCTGAGCTTTGTGTTTGTTTATGAAAATAACAATTTTAATCTTTTTTTTTTTTTTTTTTTTTGGTGAAAAAATAGTGAGCTCCTATTTAGAATGAAGTTTGTGGAAGGTGAGAGTGAATGAACAAATTATGTTTACTGCCATATTGAAAAAGGAAACTTGATTATTTTTTTGTAAAATGTATTTTTGATTGGCTTATATTTACATGTGATCTGCTGACCTAGCAGGTGAATATAATTTTTAGATGAACAAAATGTTAACTTTTGTCACTCTTGAAATGGTATATTCTGTGTTTTGTCAGCATGTGGAATAATTGCTTCATTGGAATGTCTTTCCTAAAAAAGGATCAAGCAATAATGTCAACCAGTTCTCTTTAAAAAAAAGAAAAAAAATGTAAATACTGTTTTTATAACGAAAAAGGAAGGGAAGAGGGAGGATGTTACACTCATATCAGGGTTCCAGTTAATTGTTGAATGTCACTTTAATAGCAGTTTGGATAGTCCCACTTCATATTTTTATTCGTTAATCTGTAAATACCAGGTTTAAGTTTTTATTTTTACGCTGATTTTGTGGGATAACCTAAATGTGATCTTCAGTTTCTCAGATGATTTACTTTTCTTCTTTTGGTAAGAAGCTTACAATAGCAGTAGAGAGATCTCATGCCTAACACGGGTGTTATGAATATCACTAATATCTCAAATACATTAATATCTTTGAATACAGATTCTGAAATTGAGGTGTCCCTTTAGGACACACTTTATTCTTTTCCCCAAATAAGTGCTCTTTTCAGTAAACCTTCACCAATGTAGCCCAAGGAGGGAGGTGATTCTGTCACGTCAGTGTTCCTCTCAACCCGCCTAAGAAACCAGCAACGTGGAAGAAGGAAGCGAGACCGGAGCTCCTCCGCTGGCCCTGCTCCTCGCGTTGCCCTTCCTGTGTCCTGCTGATGGGCTTCTCTAGGTATTAAAGATAAAGCACCAGCACTTGAACTCATTTTCTTCCTTTTTTTTTTCTTTTTCTTTAATGATCAGCATTTTGGAAAGCTTGATTTACGTGGGGTTACCACAATGGTGCATCTGCTAGCCAGAGTGGCATGCCCAGTCTGCTGTCTATCAGGCTTGTAGCTGCCAAAACCATGTGCCAATTCTTCTCATGGAGGAGACACAGATGAGGTGATTTTTAGTCCCAGTCTGCTCGTAGGAAATCACAGCAGTATGTCAGGAGACAAGTCCCATATGTGCATATCTCCCTCCCAGATTTAGTTCTGGTAGCAGCTCCCTGTACTCAACGGCGATGAAATGAATACATTTCTCTTGGGTAAAAAAAAAATCTTTACTTGCTACTTTGCCCTGTTTCACATCAGAGTTGTTGTCACCATTACAGCTTCACAGCCTCTTCTGCTACCAATTAAGAAATGACCACCCAAGATTTCTGCCAAGCGTTTCATTCGGTGTGGGTTTTAACTCTGGGAGATGGACTTGCATTTGAGTGCAGTCGACCAGACTGTTAAAGAGCTGTTCTTGGCTAATTTTAAAATGTTGCACATATTTTTTTTTTTTCTTCCCTTTAAATGGTGGTGGAAAAGGTTATTCTCTAAGATAAGCTTTACATAAATGTCTTTTAGGATATATATCTTTTTTATGGCAGCACTCAAGGTGTACCATTAGTCGTGCACCACGTGCGACACGCGCTTTGGCCAGCCCTGAGCAGCAGCGCTGGGAGGTGTGAGAAGACTGAGGATTGTTTCCTTCCCCTTCCCCAGAGGAGTGGGACTTACTTCAAACAGTACCTAGAAATCAGGTGGATTTCCCCTGCTTACACAGAA